AGTTGGAAGGATCAAGATGCTGGACAGTAGTTTTCTACCAAGCCTCCCATATTAGAATCACTTGGGAGGCTTTAAAAAATGTTGATGCCTTTGTGCCTTTCCAGAGCAATTAAATGTCAGGTGCTTCTGGGCATCAGGATTTTTAAAGCCCCTCCGCCCAGGTGATTCCAGTGTCTATCCAGATTGAGAGTCATTCTGCCAGAGGGAGGAGGAAGGGTCTTGAGAGACAGAGGTGCTATTGGAAGGAGGAAAGAAAGGATGGACAGTGGTACAGACGCACATGTTCAGGTCCTAAGCAAGAAACTGCACAGGCAGAGAAGGGAGAGAATTATAAATCTTGACTTGGAAGGCCTTCATCTTCTTAGTATAGTAAAAGCAGTGTCTGCCACAGAGAGGGAGGGGGAGGCTTGGGAGCCTGATCAATTAGAAAAGAGTTAGGGACATATGTCTTGAGGAGTGTGACAGAAGTTACTGAGATGAATAAGAAAGACTGTCAAGAAGCAGTTAGTGCCACACAGAAGTGAGTAGCCTAATGTGTAGTTGATCTGGTTAGCAATTTTGTCCAGGAACATTTGACAGGTGGTAGGGATTATCTAAGTTTTACTTAGAAAAAATATATAATTAAAGGGGTATTTCTTTCCTCCTTGGGTATTAGCATAGAGTTAAGTCAAGGGGACAGACGTGCTGGGGAAAGCCACACTAAAGTAGCTGGCCATAGAGGTCAGGCTTGACATGCTAGAGCCTTCAGAAGCTGTGTCTTTGTCTTCTTTCTACCTTGCCCACTACCACAGCAACCCCTTCCCCTGGGATCCTAGTTCAGCCAGAGATTTTCTTTGTTCAAACGCACCAGGTCCTCTCCCACTTCTGTTGCTTTACTTACAAGGTTTGCTCTCCTGAATGCCTTTTCTGTCTCCCCCCAGTACCTGACTCCTGTACCTGAATTAGCACTTACGTGATCTAATTTTTCTGTTTATTTGCCTATCTCCCCTAGTGTACTATGAGACTGTATCTCTTACTCATCCTATTCCTAGCAATGAACGTTTGCTGAATAAATAGCTGACTTAATTTCCCCATTCCCTATTCTCCTCTTTTAACTGTGAGGGACTTGAAAAATGCTTATTGGCTGAATATTGTTAAATGAATGGGCGTGCAAAGATGGGTATAAGGCAGATCCCTGCAGCCAGAGAGTCAGGAGTTAGTTGAAGAAATAAAACCTGCACACAGATACATGGTAGATAGTGGTGAGGGCCGAAGGCACAGGAATAAGACACTACTGGAATACAGAGCAGAGAAATCACTTTTACTTAGAGCAGCATTCTAACCTAGAGCATGGGCTCAAAACGGATTTGGGGGAAGGGTCTTTGAACTCCCTGGAAGCGTAACTGCAGAATGTTGTGTGTAAGTGCATACGTGCATTTTTTCTGGGAGAAGGGTCCACAGATGTAAAATTTCAAAGGAATATAAGGCACCAAAAGTTAACCATTGTAAGGGGTTCTCTTAAGTGGGTCAATTTGATGCATAAACCTACGTAGCATCTGGAGACTGAGAGTGTTCTTTCACGATACCTCCATCTCCTCCAGGTATTTCCTTCGAGCCACCATCAGCCGCCGCCTCAATGATGTTGTCAAAGAGATGGACATTGTAGTTCACACCCTCAGCACATACCCAGAGCTGAACTCTTCCATCAAGATGGAGGTGGGGATCGAGGACTGTCTGCACATTGAGTTTGAGTACAACAAGTCCAAGTAAGTGCCCAGGGTCCCTCATTGTGGAAGAACTATTTAGGCAGGTTAACCTAGGACCTGATCAGAATGCAAAGTGATGGCAGCCCCTTGCCTCGGCTAACTCGTGGTGACATGCTGTGGGGGAGATCACAGAAATAACAGGGAATATATGTGCCAGACTACCTAAAGGTAGACTGACCAGGAAATAAAACTTCATTTGACATAAACTAAACTATATTAAGAGGGTAAATTTAGGTTAAATATCCTATGATGTCTTTCGAAGTCCAGCTAAACTAGCTTTAAGGCTATTTGTTTTGGATTCTAGGTACAGCTGTTTCTTTTTATTGCTGAGCATAATGTCAGAACACTGTTCCATTATCATCTGTCTCCTATATACAGTATGTCTTAAGAAGGCAAAGTGAGGAAACCAAACACCGGCCGCAGTTTGCTGCTTCCTCCTTGAACTAAAATGAATTCTAGCAAAGAATACCTGATGCCTTTTCATAAAGGTCTTTAAGTAATTTTATTTTAATTGGCAAGTTGGGGAGCCATGTATGTTTTAAACTATGTTCACTGTTAGAACATGAAAATGTTTAACTGCTTGTAAATCACAGCATGTACAGTTCAAAATGCACCACAGCATCTTTCTTCTCATTATAATAAGTTCTTGAAAATGAAAATCAAATGTGTAAAAGTGTATTCTATTCACAGAGAACTAAAAAGGAAAAAAAGAAAAATCGCCGAGTCTGTAACTAGGGTTCTCATGGTGGAGAGACCCTTACCTCAGACCCACCATAGCCCAGAAGCTTGGGGTTGAGGGGGCTGAGCCACATGGCTCTCCTGTGAGGGGTTTGGGNAGCTCTTAACCAACTGAGCCACTCGGCCGGCCCTATATAATTTAATTTTAAATAATTGCTGTGTTTAACAACCTATTGATAAAATTCTTGAAAACTCAAAAGTCGGCTTTTGCACACTGGTACAAGCCGCCTCCAGCACACCACTGGCTGGGCATCAGGACGTACTGATCCTCAGTACAACTCTGCCACACAATAGCAATATGATCCTGAGTTCTGTCACTCAGCTTCCTCACTAGAAAAGTCGGTAATAGATCTGGATTCTAATTCCAGATTTGCCCTCTACATCTTTTGGGGTGATGAGAGAATAAAACGTAATACAGCATACAAAGTTCTTAAAAGATTAATAAACACAATTCAGGTACATGGGATTGTTTTTATTGTCCTATTCAGGGAAACTCTGAGGATAGGGACTGATTCCAGAGCCTCAGGGGTTTAAAAAAAAAAAATCCAGAGTAGCTATAGCCTCTTGGATATAACCCAAGATTATGTCACTGGGATAAAGCAGACTTTCTCCATCATTCTGGACACCTGATTCCAGGTCTTGACACTCTCTCATAAGGTCAGCTTGTTCTCATCACCCGAAGGCCTGAGTTTAGCATGGTGCAGAATACAGCAGGACCTTTTTTTTTCATGTTATTTTATTTTTCAATTACCATTGACATAAAAGATTAGTTTCAGGTGTACAGCATAGTGATTAGACATTTATATAACTTAGGAAGTGATCATCCTGATAAATCTAATACCCACCTGACACCATACATAGTTATTACAATATTATCGACTGTATTCCCTATGCTATACTTTACATCCCTGTGACTTTTTATAATTTGCACTTCTTAATCCCTTCACCTTTTCCACCTAGCCCCCCAATACCCCTCCCATCTGGCAACTATCAGTTTGTTTTGTATACAAATCTATTTCTGTTTTGTTGGTTTATTTTGTTTTTTAAATTCCACATATAAGTGAGATCATATGGTATTTGTCTTTCTCTGTCTGATTTATTTCACTTAGCATAATAATACCGTCCAAGTCCATCCATGTTGTCACAAATACAGGAAGACTTTTTCTCCCCTTCTTTCTCCCTGGTCTCCCCTCTGCCATCAGAAGAGTGATTGTAGGCTCTTTTTTAATCTTCGCAGAGAGGTCTGAATACTGACATTATCCCCTCTAAAGACAGCATTTCATAATTGCACTCAGAGAAGGCAGCACCTAAGCTTGGCTATTGGATTTATTGTTGGTTTAACTTTATTTTTTGCAGTGGAGTTCTCTTAAATATTTTTATGTCAGAAACAAAAGTGTTGAAAACAGTATGGCAACTTCTTAAAATATTAAAAATAGAATTATCATATGATCCAGCAATTCCACTTCTGGATACATATCCAAAAGAAGTGAAAGCAAGGACTCAAACAGATATATATATATATATATATCTCGCTCTCTCTCTGTCTCTCTCCCTCCCCCCACATTCATAGTCACATAACAGCATATTCACAATAGTCACCTGAGTGTCCATTGACAGATGAATGGATAAACAAAATGCGGTATATACATACAACGGAATGTTATTCAGCCTTGAAAAGGAAGGAAATCCAGTCATATGCTACAATATGGATGAATCTTAAAAAAATTATGCTAAGTGAAATAAGCCAGCCATTAGAAGACTAATACTGTGTGATTTCATTTATATGAGGCACTTAGAATAGACAAAATCATAGAGACAGAAAGTAGAATGCTGGTTGCCAAGGGCTGGGCGGAGGATGAATGGGGAGTTAGTGTTTAATGGGGACAGAGTTTCCTTTGGGGAAGTTGAAAAAGTTCTGGAGGTAGATGATGGTGATAGTTGTACAACAGTGTGAATGTACTTAATGCCACTGAACTGTACACTTAATATTGGTTGAAGTGGTAAATTTTATGTGATGTATATTGTGGAGGAATTAAAAAAAAACATTTCCTTGGCCGGGCCCTGAAAATTAGACTGACAAAAGACAGATTAGCAAGAGAAAAACAAATAAGCTTATTCACATGTGCATTGTGCATACACATGGAACTCAATGATGAGTAACTGAAAGGGGTGGTTTGAACTTGGGTTTATGCAAGCACCTTAACAAAAAACCAAGAATTTTACCGAGAAATGGCCAGGCAAAGGAAAATCTGGGACTTTGAACTTCTAGGGCACCAAATTGTGGGAAGGTAAACATGGAGGAAATACATGGAAGATTAGGGTTGTTTTAGCAAGGTTTGTTATATAGATTTGTCTGGTGCAGTCTCTGGGCTGGTAGAGTCTAGAGTTGTCTCTGGTGATTAAGAGTGCCCTGCTGTCCTGGAAGAGAAGAGGAGGGCAGAGAGTTGTTCTTGTGTCTGCCTCTTCTCAGTTCCTCCCAGCTCGATATAATCCTTAGGTCAGATGGGTATATTTTGGGGCAGCATACCCCATCTATATTTTACCACAATAAAAAAAGAAAATGAAAGAAAGGTCTTGCTATCCAAATTATATGAAGACTTTAGGATTCATGTTGAGAAAGAGCAGGTAAAGAAGGGAAAATGAATGAAGGACAGTTTATAGAAGATGTAAATTCCAGCTTACACCTTATAAGGCAGGCAGAGGGAAAACATAAAAAGGTTGTTTTGGGTTCATTTTTCTTTGTTTTTAGGCAGAGGAGTGGTTCTTTTGGAAGATGAATTTAAAGTCAATATGTAGTATTTGATGGATGGGTAGAGTATGGCAACAATGCTGCTAGAAGACCAGTAGGAGGTCCTAAGAGTTTCGCTGTAGCAGACACAATGTGAACAGGCAGAAAACCAGGAATTGAATAGACATCAACAGAATTTACCAATGAGTGAAGATGAAGACAGAGGGCTGTCAGGAGGAAGAGATGATTTGTAGAGAAGATGATTCATCCAATTTTAAAGTTTGGAGCACTGGCAGAATAGAGAGGTATAAAACTTCACTAGACAATTGGAAATGCAAGCCTGCACTCAGGACAGAGAAATTCACTGTTGGGAATCATCTGCTCAGTGATAATACCTGATAGGTTTTTCAAGGAGGAGTGCTAAGGCAGAGAAGAGCTCAGGGCCTGTTGGGGCTTTGGGGGGCTAGTAGGAAGTGAAGCAGGATAATGCCCTCCTGTGGAACCATGGGAAGAACATTTCAAGGAAGAGGCAGTGTTTTACACTAACATAGAATTGATGCTGAAGAAAAAGGTCACTGAATTTGGTAACTGGGAGGCTGGGTGTTCCCTTGAGGAGGGCAGTTTTTGTTGGGTGGTGACAGCTGAAGCAAGGGGTAAGGAGTAGTGACTGGGGAAGAAGCTGCAGTAGTTAGAACAGGACCCCTTCTATGACAGCTGTCTCTGAAGGAAGGTCAAGAGTATAAGGCCTGGAGAGTGTTTGGGATATTTATGAGTTGGGACTTCTTATAAACTCAAAGGAAGAAGCCTTTAGCTGGAGAGAGATTGGATATGTTAAGAAAATTGAGGGCCGGCCGAGTGGCGCATTGGTTAAG